CTCTCTATCTCTCTCTCTGTCTCTCTCTGATGAGTGTATGCCTATGGCAAAAAAAACTAAAAAACAAACAAACAAAAAATAACTCATCAGGTAATTCACATTAAGTGTCCAGTTTATTGTATGTCAGTTTTATCTCAGGCTGGAGCAGTATGAGGGAGGGAGAAAGAGAGGCTGAGAGTAAGGAGTAAAAAGAGAGAGATTGAGACCAAGACCAAAAGACTGAGAGAAAAAGGGACTTGGAGATGAGAGGTAAATGATAGAGAGGACAGACAGATGATTGACTGATTGATTGACTGATTGATAGAAGATAGACTGATAGATGACTAAAAGATAAATGATTGATAGATAAGATGATAGACTGATAGATATTGATAAGGAAGTTGAGGAAAGAGAAATTAAGGAGATATAAAATAGAAAAGAGTTTAAAATGAGAGGGAAAGGGAGGAGAGAAAGAGGCAAAAAGGAATGAGGGAAAGAAAGAGATGAACTGAGGGAGAAAATGATGGGGAAAAAAGGGGGGAGAGAGAGATAAAGGGAGCATCAGGTCTCTACTTTTGGCCATATTTTAATCCCTCCAGTTTCCTCTACTTGGGCAGCTGATCTTCCTTCCTTCCTTCCTTCCTTCCTTCCTTCCTTCCTTCCTTCCTTCCTTCCTTCCTTTCCTTCCTTCCTTTCTGTAGTTTGCTTGATTTAGGGTGCATGCACTCAGCAGAGAGAGGTAGAGAAAGTATCCCCCAGGGGGATGGCCATGCCACAATCCCTTCTCCTCCATTCTCCTCTTGGGATTTTGTGTACATACCAACACATGAGCCTGGCATGATTTTCAAGTCACCCAGGTCCAGGATGTGAACCATGCAGTCAGCCATATGGGATCCAGCTGCCTTAACCACCATGCCATCCACTGGCCCCAGCCAACCATCCATTCTGATGCCTTCTACTTACCCTTACAGGTAACCACGTGCCTGCGGAAGAAAGAAGGAGACTACGAGGTCCAACGTCATCGCCTAGGCTATTACCTGCCACATCTAGACCTGAGGAAGCTGGAATGACTCCATCTGCCCAAGGTCCCTTTTCCTCAGTCAGGGTCCAAAGAATCTTGACTAAGACAGAAATAAACCACATTGGTCGGACAAAGTCTCTGGCCTTTTCTTGACTTAGCCTCTGATGGTTTTGAAGGGGACTGAGAGAGAACTCTACCTTCAATAAGTGCTCTGAAGGAAACCATGTTATCTCTGAGGGACACCATCATTGGTGAAATTGGTATAGAAATGCTGTAATATAGAATCAACATCCTACCTCAGCATGAAGTTTTCCTTCTTGGTCCTGGAGTATATGCCTGCCCTTAACTCTTGCCAGCCATCACGCCCCACCCAGCCCCACCATCTCTGTTCCTCCTATTTTCCAGCCCCCAGAAGCCCTGGAAGTCTCAGGTTTCTCTTATGCTACCTCACTATCAGAAGCTCTGATTCACAAGGACTTCCAGATCATTCTTCCTGTGTGAATAAACCAAGAAGGAATAAGTGGATAAGAAATGATTCTACAATCAGCCTTGGGACTTGGAAGCTGAAATAACTAGATTTCTGGGAAGCCTGAGTCCCCAGATGTTTTACTTTGTTATTGTACTGCTAAAAAATATATACCTTAGACTGGGCAATTTGTAAAGAATAAAGGTTTAATTGGCTCATTATTCTGGTAGCTGGAAAGTCCAAAGGCATGGGGCCAGCTACATCGCAATATGGCCAACAGAAGAGAGGAAAGGATATACAAAGAGAGAGGAAACAATAATCCCCCACTTTGTCTGTTTGCTCTTCCTGTGCTCCCAAGCAATTGTATGGTACCCACTCACACTGAAATTGGGTCTTCCTTTCTCAGTCTACTGACTAACATACCTCTTATCTGGAAAGGTGTCTTCCCACTAGACTTTACCTCTTAAAGGTCTCATCTATCTCCCAATTCCATTACACTGGATACCAAACTTTCAGAACATGAACCTTTGGAGGACACACCATGATCCAAACCATAGCACTAAAATTAATGTCAAAACTCTATAAAGATATAATATCTGTTTTGGATAGAAAGATGAATAAAACTCATGAGCATGGGAGGGGGGATCTAAGGGGAAAGCAAGATGGGTTTTTGTTTGTTTGTTTGTTTGTTTTTATCTTTGTACTGGATCTAACCAGACATTTATGGCAGAGAGCCCCAAACAATCTGCCCAAAGCATCCTTAGCAAGAGGCCAACTTACTGACCCATCTTGAGTTTGTTGGAAATAAAAAAACTGCATCATTTCTACACATTTTGAAGACTACCACAGCTGACAACACCAACAGGCTAAGAATTAAAATTACAATGATGTCACCCATTTGAACTTTTTTGGTGTAAGTTTTTCTTTCTTAGCCTTAAGCTTACTTAAACTTAAGTCTTCTATGATAATGCACTCAGAGAATATTATAATAATGATAATAATAGCTATCATTTATTGGTTACTTAACACTTGTAGGCATCATGGTTGATGAATTCTGTGTGCATTATCACAGTTATGCTCACCATCGTTGAAGGTTTTATTCCCATTTTTTATAGCTGAAGCTATGGAGGCTCAGAAACATAGTTAACTGGACAAGGAAGAAAAATTTACTTAGAACCTAAATTATATACAAAGTCAAACTATCTGTCCAAAGGGGGGGGGGAGAGGTAAAAACTTCCAGATGTCCCATGTATCTTCAGTGAAAGAGCCATAAAGAATGGACATCAGGTAGAAGGAATGTAAACCCCGAAAAACAAAAAAATGAAAGCACAGAAGTAATGAAGAGTCCCAGACCTGGTGGCTAGAGAAACATGCCAGGTGCATGTGCATGCATGCCCAAATACAAATAATATAATGAGCAATTCAAAATGGGAGCATAATGTGAAAAGTAAAAAATATCTCTTTTTTTTGGGGGGGGGTGGTTGGTAGGGGGTTTTGCCTTAGGGTGTGTGTGCTCACTGGGGGGGGGGGGTTGGTAGAGGGTTTTGCCTTAGGGTGTGTGTGCTCACTGGAGAGAGAGACAGGGACAGCGAGAGGATAAGTGAGAAGTCACCCCCTGGGGGGATGGCCATGCCTCAATCCCTTCTCCACTCTCCTCCCAGGATCTTGAGCATGCATGCACATGCACCCGGTTAGAGTTTGAAACCACTGAGTCCAGGACTCAAAGCACTGTTGGCTATGTGAGAGTTCAGCTATGTAATGGCTACACCATCTGTTGGCCCCAAAAATCTCTTTTCTCTGCTCACCTGAAACCCAGCTTCTTACCTGAGAAAGAACTTATTCTACCAGCCCCATAGCACATTGGTTAAGTATTACACAGATGAAGTTGGGTCCTACATAGCCAACCATGGCTCTGGTCCCAGTCCAATGGCTTAAAAAAAAGTGTGCCATGTGCAAACACACATGATCAGGATCCTAATAGGATGGAGAATTCGAGAAAAAAAAAGAAAGAAGAAACAAAAGAAATTACTATCTATATTTTCTTGTGTCACATAAAGGAGTTTAATAAAGAAAGTTATTGGTATTCTCTTAAATTAAGAGCTCGAACCAAAACAATAAAATAATACAGATACTTCAGGGTATTACTTCAGGACTGTGCTCCATTTTGCTGGCACCATTTTCTCTTTGTTTTCCTGAGGTTTTTCAAGATGTTCTTGGCCTCTCCTTTTCTCTGCCTCACTAGTCAGCCTGTCTGCAATCAACACTATTGCCAGTTTCTCTCTTACTGCGTTCACTTTGCTTTCCTGTTTTCTAATCTCTTCCTCAGTGACCAGCAATTGTTTGCAGAGTTGTGAGTTATCCAGACCTGCTCCAGGAATCATTTCTGCCAAATCTGAAGACTGGGCAAGGGGGGATGTGGGGCTAGAGTGCAAACCACCAGTGAGAGGCCCTGGCATAGAAACACCAGTGGAACTAGGTGCAAATGTTTGCAAGATTTTGGCAAGATCTAAAGTACTTAAGAGCTCTCCTGCACTGCTGTAGACCCTGAGTCCTTGCAATCTCTTCTGCCAATAGGCCTGTTGGGGTTTCTCCAAGTTCTCTTCCCACTGGTGGTATCGAACCTCATTGCCAGGATGGGATGTAATTCTAGTAACTGGTCTCTTAAATATGAAACTGGACATCCTCAAAGGGATTGAGTCAGGTTTGGGTTTGGATTGGTTTACATAATCGTGTTGCTTCCTCTGTGAACTCTTGACCATCATACGTCTTTTCCTCTCACCCTAGAAACATAAATTGTAACGTTGGTTCAAAATGATAAATGAAGCCTTGAAACAATGATCTCAGATCTCCTGGACTTCTTTCCCCTCTCCCTCTGGGGACAGGTGTGACTTTCATTTTAGGAGACCTGCAAATATCTCCTAAAAGCTTTCATCCTTTACAAATTTCCTCTAGGGACCAGCAGTTAACATAATGGCTATGTCACTGGATTCCCATGTAGTCAACTGCGGTTCAAGTCCTGGACCCGGTGGCTTAAACTCATGCCAGGTGCATGTGCATGCATGCCCAAGATCCTGAGAGGAGAATGGAGGAGAAGGGATTGTGGTATGGTCATCCCCCCTGGGGGTTGATTTCTCATTTTCTGTCTCTCTGTCTCTCTCTGTCTTTCTGGCGAGTGCATGCGACCTATAGCAAAAACCTCTCAAAAAAAAAAAATTCCCTCTAGTCTAAGAGATTTTCTTTATTCCCCAATGGTGATCTGGGTCTTATCTCCTTTTCTTTCTTCTTTTTTTATTTTATTTATTTTTATTTATTACACCCATTCACTGTATATCATTACACCATATACATGAAGGAATCAAGGGGAAAAAGAAATAAAACATTTAAGAAAGCCCCTTCCTTTCTTATGCCCTCAAAATAGCCCCTGTATCCTCAGCTTCTGTTTTTCTACTGAACCCTTCCTTCAACATTTAAATATGTTCCAATTTCTCTTAACTATATAGAAAGCTATCATCTAACCTTGCTTGGATCTCTTATCAACCATGGCGTTCTATCCCTTCTCCACAGAGATAAGATAAACTACATCATAGTCTCTATCATCTCACCTCCAACCGACTCCTGGGGCCACTTCAAACTCCTATCTACCTTCACCATTCTACGGTTGCTTCTGAGATGAGGTCACAATGCCTCCTTGCTTATTAGATCCAAAAGGATTTTACAACATTCTGCTGAAAAGAAATAACCAGCTCTGTAGAAATAATGTCTGACCTGCAGCTCAACCACCACCCATGGAATCCCTTAAAATGTCAGCAAATGAAAGTCCCAGGAGAGGTCTTTCTGAGCTTTCCATTACAGACCGTCTGCTGGAATATCAGTGTTACCTTCTATCAAATCCCTAAAAGAGCATAATGCATGATGCCCTCAAGGTCTGTCCATGTGGTAGCATGGGTCTCTAAAAGTGCACCTGCTTTCTCCAGAACGTCTGGGGATGCATCTTTGATATGCATGGGCAGGTGTCCTATAGCTAGCTGATTAGTGCAGGGACTGGTCTTTCTCCAGGTCACCCCTGGAGGTATAATTATTAGGAGTCAATTTAGAATGATAATAAAGTCTACAAAAATGTTCACAAATCTAAAAAACGTTTACAAGACTTTTTATTAGTAGTAGTCCTTATTGACGCATAATCATTGTACCTATTTATGGGGTAGAGTGTGATTTTTTTCAATACATAAATCCAATGTATAATGATCAGATCAAGTGATTAACGTATCTATCACCTCTAACATTTATCATTATTTTTTAAAAGCTTGCAATTGTTTTAGTTACCAAAAAATTAAGAAATGTCTGTTTTTACAATAGGTGTATTTCTTTTCTTTTTTTTTTTTTTCTTTTTCTTTTTAGGTTTTAGACATAGGGCACACATGCTTGCTGAAGAGATAGAGAAAGATAGAGAGGGAAATTGAGAAATCCTCCCAGAGGGATAGCCACACCTCAATCCCTTCTCCTCCATCCTCCTCTTGGGATTTTGGACACTTGTACACATGTACCTGGCATGATTTTTCAAGCCTCCATGAACTTGAATCACAGTCGACCATGTGGGAGTCCAGCACCTTAACCACCACGCCACCTGTTGGCCCCCAGAATTATATTTCTTTTTAAGGTTGAATAACATTCTGGCTACAGCTAGGCTTAAATTGTGGAGGATGAAGTTGCTGGCAGCCACCTACACAACCAGACTTACTCTCACACTCAGTAACGTGGTTCCTGCAGCCATAGTGACTCTAGGCACCAAGAAAACATCTGAAATCCCAGCTGCAGAGCAGACCCAGTGGCTCCCAGGTGCCTCAAGCATTTTTCTTTTTTTTTTTTAAAGAATTTTTAAATTTTATTTTATTTTTATTTTTCTTTAGTTTGACCAAAAAGAAAGAGAGAACGAAAAAGCAAGCCTTTCAGGTCCAGGACTCAAATCTCAGTCGGCTATGTGGGAGCCCACCATCTTAACCACCTCACCACCTGCTGGCCTCCCCCACCATCTAACCACCTCACCACCTGCTGGCCCCCTGTACTTTTCTTTTTCTATTTCCCTGAAGCTTCTTCCAGAGTCAGCGGGCTCTGGCCCTTTTCTCCCTCATTACAGATGGCTGACCTGTTTCTCTAAGTTCTTACCTTCAGACACAAAGGCTGTTACATCTGTCAATGACAGGCACCAGAACTAGCAACAAATGAGAACAGCATCCAGATATGAACCCAGAGATAACAATGACACAACCTAGATGTTGTGAAGGACCAGGAGACATGACTCCCCAACCATAAACCCCCTTTCCACTATTTTTTTTTAATTTCAAGAGGTTTTTACCTTAGGTGCATGCACTCACCAAAGAGAGAGTCAGTCACAGTGAGAGGAAAAGTGAGAAATCACCCCCCAGAGGGGATGACCGCGCCGAAATCCTCTCTCCTCCACTCTCTTCCCAGGATCTTGTGCACACACGCACATGCACTCAGTGTGAGTTTCAAACCACCAGGTCTGGGACACGAACCGTGGTCGGCCAAGTGGGAGTCTAATGACATAACCGCTATGCCTTCAGCTAGTCCCAGTCCCCTTTCCTCTAAAACTCAGTAAAAGCCCATAGCCCCCTATCCTTCAATGCAAATGCAACTCTCTGCATCTGGCTCTTTTCCTCTCTTGGAAAGTGAATAAACCCTTTTTTTCGTCTCTTTCTCTCTCTGCATTCTCTTTGAGTCTGAATTTTGTCATGGCTTGTAGCACAGGGCACCCTAACACAGGGTACAGGCTCACACCACCCCCTGCAGCAGGCCAGCCTCAGAATCTATGCCATTGCCTTCGGTCCCCAGGCTATAGAAGATCCAAGGTCTAGGCCTGGGGCCAAGTCCACCCCATCAGGCTACAGTGTGAAAGCTCTGTGACCATCCCTGCAGATGTAGGCTCTCGCCCAGTCCCATGCCCACTCAGGCACCAGGCCTGCTCAGCCCTGGCCAGCCCCTGAAGACACAGGTTCAAGAACCACCTCAATGCCAAGTCAGCTCCTATGCTTCCAGACTTCAGCTCCAACTCTCGTGACCTCAGGTTCCAAATGCATCCTGGCCAGACTTCAGTCCAACCCTTGTCCCCTCAAGTTCCAAATCCATCTCACTGGACTGCTTTAGGTCCAACCTGAGATCCACCTAATTGCTGACCCTAAAACCAGCAAGCATGCCTTTAGACATTGCTAAGCATCCTAATAAATCTCTAGCCCGGTATCTGGAGCTACTCTCCCTTAGCCCAGATTACTGGACTATCGCAATCCGAGCACATAAGAGATCCATTCACAGGCCATATCCCTGCGCCCTGGGCTCCTCTCCTCCTACACTCAGACCCGCCCACCAGAGCCGGTCTCCACACATAGCTCCGCCCCCGGAGCGCGTCTCCGCCCATAGCCCCGCCTCTTAGCTTATCTCCGTCCAGTCAACCCCGCCCCCCCGACTCGTCCCCGCCCCATAACCCCGCCTCCAGAGCTTCGTCTCCGCCCACACGGCTA